AAAACAATAAAGAGACATTTACAAACTCGAGAATTCACTTCTTGGAAATTTCTGTTTCTGTGGATCAATCTTTCATAGGCAAAAATGACTTTGTTTGTTTTGTATTATTGTAATATGCAGCTACATACGGTTCAAAAAATATCACTCGTTGACTTCTGTGAAATAATTATTTTGGTTAACGTGAGCTTTTTCTTTACATTTCAACTCGTAATTGGAGATTATTTGAATTCCTTGTCCAAAATTACAGATTCTTAATCAAAGCCATGTTGAGAAATAACAGTGAAAACTTGATTATTTGCTGTTAATTATTTATCTAATCCATGAGCAGTTTTGTGTTGGGAGGCAGAGAGAGCGTTGCAGCACGCTTTCAGTGGGCACCATGACCAAGTCTTCTGTGACTGTTCATCACTTCTGGCCTATTGAAAATTAGCTGAAGTTTACCAGGACAGATTTCCTTTACCTGAATGTAACTAATGGCTAATATTCTATGTTAAAAACATCTATATCAGTGCATGAAAAAATGTCAGATCGATCGATAATTAATTGACAACTTGATGAAGTTTTAAAGCGGGCCTTACTTCACATTGCACCTCCCGTGACGTGACTATTACATCTCAGCGTTGATGCCGTAACAATTCATATATCGCGGCTGAATCATGGAGAACTTCGGCTCTCAGCTGTGGCCTTGTCTCGCTAACAGTCTCTTGTCATTTCTCCACTCGTTGCTCCATCCGTCTTTGACACTCTCAGTAGATTTGCTGGACCATCTCCCGCTTCTTGTCATGTCTCTCTGTTTCATTTCAGCTTCCATCACTTCCTCCTACTGCTTTTTTTTTTTCCTCTGCACTTACTCGTCCTCTTATTCATTCTTTTGGTCTCCTCTCTGTCCGCCTACTTAACTTGAGACTACTCTGCCGTGCACCACCACCACCGCTACCGCTGCCGCCGCCGCCACCGCCACCGCCACCTCCTCCCCATTCCACGCTCCTTTTCCCTCCCATGTTCCCCTTGGCTGACTCCCAGCACTCCCTTCCTCTCTCCTCCGCTCTGTCACCCCTCTATAAAGACTCCCACTGACGGACCTGAACCTTCTGCCCAAGCCACATTCTGCCCCTCATTCTTTTCTCCTGCGCTCCATGCGAGGAGGAGACCAATTAAAGTCCGTCTCGTCTCCTCTTCCACTCCGTTGTTCTGCTCTCTGTGTGTCTGCACTCAGACTCTCTGGGGTCGCTAATTAAAACACTTTTACTTTCTTTTTCTCTTCACTCTACTTTCTTTTTTTTTTTCTTTTACCTGTTCGTCCAACTTTTTCTTCCTTCAGCTTCTTTATTCATCTTTTTTTTTTTTGTCCCGGCTCTTTTCATCACTGTCCTTATGTCACATCTCTTCCCTCCATTTGTGACCTGCTTTTGTCCTTTTGTACTTTTTTTTTTGTGATTTGGTCGTGTTGCTTTGTCCTGCATCTGTTAAACAAGGTATGAACACAGCAGGTTATACTTTATGAAATGCACACTGCGTCTGTGCAACAGGAGGAAACACCATGAAACAGGTGCACACTATGTATAATCTTAGAATGTGCAGATGGTGACTAGTTTAATAGATAAGAAATTACAAGACAGTCAGATGTTTGCAGAGAGGTACTGAGGTTGCTGATGCTGCTTGTGGAAAGGTCTCCCACTCTTCTTGAAGGACTCTGTGACGTTGGCGGATTTGTACATCCAGAGATGTTGTAATATGTCTGCAGGTTGTGCCTGGCCTGGACCGGATCATTTTCAGCTGCTTACAACACCGTTCTGTCGTTACATCAGGGCCTGGGTGAGAAGATCCCAGAGCAGCTTCCCTCAGTAGATTCCTCACAGTCTGAGCAAACGTTCTCTGGTAGATCACACCAACACCTACATGAGCGTCTCTGTTGATGGACAAGCTGGATGTGATGATTGGTGGTTGAGTTTAGACTGGTTTTAGGCTATTTTTAGCTGGGTTTTGAGCTTGTGTTAGACTGGTTTTAGACCAGTTTTAAGCTGGTTTTTGATATTTTTTAGGCTTGTTTTTGACTGGTTTTAGGTTACATTTTTTGCTGGTTTTGGGCTTTTTTTGGGCTTGTTTTTAGCTGGTTTTTGGACTGGTTTTAGACTAATTTTAGATCTGCTTTAGGTTAGTTTTGGACTAGTTTAAGGTTCCATTTTTTGCTGTTTTTCGACTGGTTTAACATTGTTTTTAGACTAATTTTAGATTGGCTTTAGGTTGGTTTTTGACTGGTTTAAGGTTAATTTTGGCTGGTTTTTAGATCAGTTTTATGCTGGTTTTGGACTGGTTTTAGGCTGGTTTTAGGTTGATTTTAGACTGGTTTAAGGTTACATTTTTGTTCATCCTGGACTGGTTTTAGGCTGGTTTTGGACTGGTTGTGGTGACACTTAGTCTGCAGTCATGTAGCAGATTGTCTTTTGCACTTTGCTGTCTAAAACAGTTTTTCGGATGACAAATGGTGGAGTTTTTGACATTAAAGCGCCTGACTACGGCTCTAACAGCCCGTTCTCATCTTTCCTTTGTCATTTGTATCATTTGAATAAAGCTGCATTTTTAGGTTCTATAAAAGTGACCTTTTATAGTCACTGGTCAAAGGAGTGTCTGAGCTCCAGTCACGCTATCTGATCATCGTCCTTTAAAGCCACATCTGACGAGGCTGTGGATTAACTACGTGAACGAGAATTTGTCACCAGCTAAACGGCTCAAATTGGCTCCACTGAAGCCTTTTCTGACCAGAACAATAAAGATGACATTTTTAACTTTTCTCTGAGTCAGTAAAAAAGACCACTTGCATGCTGAGTTTACATTCTTGTTCAGTGTACTTCCCTCTGTCTTCCTCTCGTCACCTCCTTCTCCTATTAGTTCGTACATGGGTAACTCTTTATACTGTAGCTGACAGCGAGTCAGAATCCTCAGTCTGAAAGCGCATACATTATGCAGCTCCTCTGTTCTAATGATGCTGTCTTGTCCAGGGTTGTTGTTATGCCAAAAACCAGTCAACCTTGACTGACATGGTTGTACATTCACATGCACGTCCGCTTAAGTTGGTACACAACTGTGTGTTTCTGTACTGCGTGCTCTGGGAAAATGGAAAACAGAGGCAGTCGAGTTTATTTTACACTGAACTCCCCTCAGTGGTCATAATTAGCATATGAGGAATGTTGTTCTCTCTATCTGACACTCGACAACAGTCTCTCGCTGCCCTAGAAATAAAATGGAGGTTTACCATTGTGTTATGCATTGTACAACAGAAGTGAGTACATCCATGTTTGATATCAAAAACAATTAGATGCTTAGATGGAAAATTCAAGCCACAAAGTAGAAACAACAAAAGTGAATACACCTGTGATCGCTGAAACTGAACAGAGTCCGCCTGTGATTGAACATGATTCTGAAATTAGCTTAGAACAGCAGAACTTTCTCAGTTTTGAACGCATGGGTGATTTCTGTCTGCATGTCTCTGTCATGGCTCCACATGGAAAAGAATTGAGCAGAGAAACTGAAAGATTTGATTGTTAGACTTTCCAAAGATGTAAAACGATGCAAGACAAGCAACTCAAAGATCTGTGGAAATACAGTAATCAGGAGGTCTAGAAGGAGCCACAGTAGCACTGAAAAGATTGCGTTTTTGATGGTTTTAGGCTGGTTTTGGACTTTTTCAGTGCTTGTTTTAGACTGGTTTTAGATTGGCGTGAGGTTGGTTTTGGACGTGTTTAGGGTTACGTATAAGGATGGTTTTTGACTTTTTCGGGGCTTGTTGTAGACTGGTTTTTAGACTGGTTTTAGACTAATTTTAGATTGGCTTGAGGTTGGCTTTTTGACTGGTTAAAGGTTAATTTTGGGCTGTTTTTTAGCCTTGTTTTAGGATAATTTTAGATTGACTTTAGGTTGGTTTTGGACTGGTTTAGGGTTACATATAGTGATGGTTTCTGACTTTTCGGGGTTTGTTTTAGACTGGTTTTCAGACTGGTTTTAGACTAATTTTAGATTGGCGTGAGGTTGTTTTTTTTGACTGGTTTAAGGTTAATTTTTGGCTGTTTTTTAGCCTTGTTTTAGGATCATTTTAGATTGGCTTTAGGTTGGTTTTAGACTGGATCAAAGGTCCATTTTTGCTGGGCTTTGGGGGTTTGTTTTAGGCTGTTTTTTTAGACTGGATTTAGGCTAATTTTAAATTGGCTTTGGGTTGGTTTTGCACTGGTTTCATATCATATTTTTGCTGGTTTTAGGCTGCTTTTGGACTTTTTTGGAGCTTGTTTCTGACTGGATTTTAGATTGGTAAGGATTACCACTAATCAGGACTGTAGTGGTCATCCTCCTACAATGACTCTACAGACAGTGAACTACTTTAACAATCTAGCTGTGAAAACCAGATGAACAAGTGCTTCAGATTTGGCACTGGTGTTATCAGTGGAAATCAGAGTTTCTCCAGTTGGAGTCCAGTATGTTTGTTGTGAACCTACCCAAGACTACTCCAGTAAATCTATAGCCCTGACAGTGAAGTACAGAGATTTTAATGGGATGGTATGGGGCTGCATGAGTGCTAAAGGTGTAGGGAAGTGTAGAGATCACCTGTTTCTGCATATGGTAAATCTTCACTGTTGTTTTTTTAATTTGGCTGTTCCGTTTGAAACCAATGCAATTACTGTTAAGTGAAACAATTTTGAATGATTTTATGTTAAAGCGGTCTTGCACACGGATGTACTCGCTTCTGCTGTGTGCAATAAAATCCCAAAGCATCCTTGAAGACCTGCACGACTTTGCTTTATCTACGTTATACCAGCGAAAAATCCATCTTCTGCAATATTCCACGTTCCTCCAGGCGCTGAGGCATTATGGAATACCTGTCCATCTGTCTTCCTTCGCTCTTTCTCTGTCCGTCTGTGCTTAATCACCGCCTCTCCTCCCCCGTCAGTCATGTATTAATCTGTAATCGTTATGTGAAATATTAATGCTGTTGTCGTTCTTCCTTCCAGGTTGACAGCAGGAGATCTGTCCGTTCAGCTGAATCTGAACGATTACCTGGACATCTACTGCCCCCATTACCCCAACAAGGGGACTGGGCAGCCAGAAACCTTGGCCCTCTACCTGGTGGCCGAGCAGGCTTTCCAAGGCTGCGTAGAAACCAGAGGGGCCATCAAGAGGTGGGAGTGCAACACTCCGTACGCTCCGTTCGGACCAGTCCGGTTCTCAGAAAAGATCCAAAGGTTTACACCCTTCTCGCTGGGGTTTGAGTTTCTGCCAGGGAGGCACTACTACTACAGCTGTGAGTACAAGACGTGTGTGTTTCTGTGCTACAAGTACGTAGCAATCATATTTAGCAGCCATACAAAAGCTTCATATATTCTAGAAATAATAAAGCTAATGGATTTTCTGGTTTAGATCAGGAGATATCAGATTGATGAATGCTGGACACTGCTGCTACTCAGACTGGCGCCAGGCAGACAGAGCTGTAAATTATATTGATTATCAGTTATGCAGACTATTGTGTCAAGTAATAAGTTCATCTGAAATATCAATAAATGGTTGAAATGTATCTGTCACACTCTTCAAATGGTAATTCCTTCAGATTAGGTGCTTTAGTTCCAGTTTACGATCACATAAGACAAAGAAACACAGCAGATCCATCTAATTACCAAGATGGAATCAGGCAAGAAGAAAAATATGACTTAACCCACCGAATCTCAAAACCCAAAGCAAACAAAGTAATTTCAAAAATCACCAAATTGACACCATTTATTAGAGCCAGAAAAAAATTTAAATGGTTCCTAAAATGATTGTATGTGATGTATGGTTCCATCGCCAAAAGATAACCAAATCAAAGCTAAAAATCACGATATTTAACTAAAATTACTTTTTTTCTACATGTCTCATTTTAAAATTTACCAACTGAAAACCATCTGTGCCGATTTTAAATAAATAAATAAATAAATGAATAAATAAATTTTTTAAAAAGCTCCTGCACTCCTGAGCACATCTGATAAGTGACCAACAGTCAGGTAACAAAACTTTCGAGTATTCAGTTGAATTGCAGGCAGTGTTTCCACAGAGCAGACATAAAACAACAAGAGAGAGCAAAATTAAACACAACGGATTAATAAAATAAATGCAGCATGGCTCAAAAACGGTGAACAGAGGAGCAGCTTGATGGAAGATACATTCAGCATGGTGAAACAAGTTTTTAGAGTTGTGTGGAAAAGTTTGTAAAAGTTGTCAAAATGCAAATAGTAAAATATCTTGTCGAGTGCCGATTTTTTTTCCTGCATTGGTAGCACCAGTGGACACTTGGAAAAATGTTGGGTATGTTGATTCCAAGTTTTTTTTTTTCTTTCGTAGAATAAATAATCAAAAAGAAAATTCAAATTTCGGTTATTCTTTTTTTTTTTGTTTTGTTTTTATGATTTATGGAACTTTGTCATACTGCACAGGAGACCTTGTTGAGTTCCCTCTACTTCCACTCATGGTTGTTCTCTTTCCATCGAGGTGCAGGATTTTATATTCCAGTGGAAAAATGAGCTGACAGTGAGGAAAAATGTGACAGGAGCAAAAAAAATAAATACATTTTTAAAAATGCTGAGCAAAAACGATCTGATATGAACCCAATAACAACGTAGTATAATATTAATCAAGTCTTATTTATTATATGTTAAACAAATCTAATTAGTCAGCAATTAGTTTGCTATAATTAATTAAGCTGCTGTAATTAATTTTTTTGGCTAATGGAGCGTTTCGGCTCTAAAGCAGTATAGAGGTTCGTTGCCTTTGACAGCAAGTGGTTCAAACATGGCTGGAAAAAAAAGTGTGTTTTTGATATGCAAAATGCAAAATCTCTTATCATTTTGTACAACAGTGAATGTTTGCTTTGGGCTTTTTACGCCGGCACCCCAATAAAACCGGTCAAAGAGAGAAAAATGTAAATATTTGATGTTTCAGGTCATCAGTCTGTGCAAAGATACCAGCGTTGGAGAAAGTGTGGTGGAGGGCAGCCTTACATTTTTAACAAGTAACAAGGTTCAGAGGAGCTTTAGCCAGGGTTTTTTTTTTCTCGTTTTTATTTTGTTTTTTATGAGGCCTGAGTGTTGGCAAAACTGCAGCTTATTCCATTAATGTTTTCCATAAATTCCCGCTGAATGACATTAATATGATGTTTTCATAAACCTGTAGGTTGTTACAGTCTCCGTGATGGTTTCTCCGTGACATCCTCCTGCATTTTTCTCTCCTCGCTCATTTATTTCAAACCACTGGAGGGAGAAAAGGGAGGGAAGAGAGACAGAAGATGGCTTAGTGGCTGTAAAATCAGTTGACATTTTTTTTCTCTCTCTCTCTCTCTTACTTTATACAAGTTTTGGTGTCAGTCCAAGAGAGGGAGGACATGAAACAAGGCAGAGAATGAAAGAGTCAAGTGAATGCGTCGTATGGAAGGGTGACAACAAAAGAGACAGAGGGACGGCAAAGTGTAGGAGGAAGAAATGGAGATCAATACAGGACGACAGCGAGGCAAGGCAAGAGAAGCAGACGGAGGTAGAGAAGCGTGGAAGAGTGACAGAGGGGGAGAAAGAGCAAAAGATGGACACAGCCTGACAGTACGGGGGAGGGAGGGAGGGAAGGAGGGAGGTGAGATGGGGGAGAAAGGGATGAGAGAGAGGATGGATGAGTGGACTGGAGAAAGGAGGACAACAAAAGGGATGGATGAGTTGAAGGAAAAGAGGGAATCTTTACATAAATTACTGTTGTGGTCGGCGGGACAATGGAGCATTGTGAGACCATGGGAGACACACACTAACACACACATGTACACGTGCACGCTCACATGCACACACACATGCACACTGGTCTATTGTGGCTGCTCATGCCAGTTCACAGAGAAGCAACAAAAGGTCCCCCCCCACCCCCTAGTCGGGCCACTTCGGGCTCACAGCGATTGTGTATGTTTTGTCCACGTCGCAGATAAGGCGTAAAGTTGGTCCAAATGTCTGGCTCTGGGGTTTGAGCGCTGAATGGACCCGCGGCACTGGAGGCTGCATAATGGCATTAGCCTGGGAGAACAGTACAATGGTATTAGAAACACTAATGGCATTAGTTGGCTCAGTCTGAGCCGGGCTCGAGCTCGTCTCTCCCACAGACGATGACAGAACGCTGTCACCCAGCAGCAGCAGCTCTCCATGTGTGGATCCACGCAAACAGGAAACACCTGGACATCCTCAGCTGACGTGGAAACATGTGAGAGGAAAGGAACGGCGCACTTTGGAAGCCACTTAACAGAACAGCTTTCACTGCGTTTAAAAACAAAGTGACTCGACAACGCGAGCAGCGGCAAAATATGGAAATCTGTTAAGTCACAGAAAAAAAAACGCAAACGTTTTGCAGAACTGATGAGCGCCATGAACATCTCGTAAAATTGAAATAAAGCTCCATCAGAAATCACTTCCTCTTTATTATGCTGTATAGAGTGCTACATTTATTCTCTGCCGTTTAGTATGAAGGTGATATAGGACTGAGGGATATAGCTGGAAACGTTTCATCATGATAAAATGTGTTATTTCAGTAGATATCAATAATTATTGATCATTTTAATGACTTATTTGTATTAATGACCAGAAGAAACAAGGTTTAATTTGAATTTCAACCACTTTGGAGAATATTTATCAAGGTACACATGCAGGTACAAATACATAAACAAATGTAAACACATAAAGATAAAAAAGGATAAAGGAAGGATCTCACCTTGATGCACATTAAATAAAGCAAGCAATGAAAACCTGGAGATGCACGGAGGGCGACCAGGGCAAAGCTGCCGTACCATCGCCTGGGTATCATTAGATGGAGACCCCAAACCAACCTGTGTGCACCCCAACATCAAGACCATCAGCCTTTGTTGCAGATGTTTCTTAGATGGAGGTGTGGTAGCACAGGGTCCTGGGAGTTTTTAGATTGCAACCTATGTCCTACATGTGCAAATGTTAGTACTTGTTGGCCACATCACACCTGGGAATGTCTGCAGACTGGGGGCCTAGGTGGGTCACAGACTAGCAGGCCTCGGAAGACCTGC